AGTTGTTTGTTAAGAGTTAAATCAGAACTTTTGTTTTAAATTTATACAAATTTTAAATAAATAAATAAATAATATTCAGGCCATTATGTTAAGATTAAGTAGCTTTGGAATTTGTGAGATTCAACTCATGATAAATAAAACATTATCTTATTTTACAGCTGTTTTCAAAAAGGAAGTTTAATACTGTAAATAACTTATGAATAAAAGTATAATAAGCTTTTTGTTTATCAATATATTTTATTACACTTAATGGGATACATCATCCAAACTGAGGCAGTTAAATATGCATCTTCACTATACGCGGAACCATTCTAAAATGTTTTATTTTTAGAAAATTCTTTAGAAAATTTCACAATTCGGCTATAAAAGTTTATCTTTAACTTGAATTAGTGCTTCTAAATAGGTTACAGAAATGGAACGTAATAGTGCTGTACATATAGGCACATTTTATATTATGAATCATGTCACGTTTATTCACGTTATTCGGAATGACACGAAACCAGAATAACATTTACGTTAAATCATATCGCAGAATTTAAATTTTGGCACCACAATTTTGAATTTGTCCCTGACGTGCACTTATAGTAAATATACTATCGCTATATTTTAGAATGATTTGAAATTGGCTAATTCTTTATTTTTCAAAATAGTTAAATAAAATAGTATTCATGTAATAGTTAATGCGTATTAGAGTATTAGCTTTAGTATTATTGTTTTTTATTAAACAAATTCATTATTATTTTTTAGAGTGGCCTTTGTTATAAAAAAAATTTTTTTAAGATAAATTTTTTGCTATTCGAAAGTCGAAAACGATTTTGATAATCTCTAGAGCTAAAAATTAATTATCGCTCTTGGGTAATAGTTTTTAATTGGCTTAAAAAAACGTGATCTTGTATAACCAGGAACTTTTCTTCCTGAACGCTGCTCGCTATGAAAGGGTTAATCGAGATTTAACATGTTAGCGCAAGACAATTTGTCCAAAGAAGCTACTCTAACGCAGTTATTTAACAATTCAGAACGAACAATAAATCAAGGCGAATATGCTAAAGCTCTTAAGTCTATCGATAAAAGTAAATATTTAAATTTTCTGTCTTTCGAATTTTATTTCTAAATTGTTAACTGGCTTCCTTTGTATAGTCCTAAATTTGAGTCCAAACGACATTGATGTTGAGCGAGCTTACTGTCTTTATAGGTTGAACAAATTTTCTGAAGGTACAGAACTTCTTCATAAATACCGAACTGCTAAAAATAATGATAACGGATTGAGACATTTGGAAGCACAAGTGGTTTGTTATACTTTTCTTTTTTTTTAAAAAAAAAAAGAATTATTGTTTTAATTTTATAATTTTTGAAGGCATACAAACTTGAAGATTATAATTCTTCTCTAGAAA